CCCAGGGCGCCCTCGCTGCTCAGAGGCAGCAGCAGTGCAGCAGGACCGGCAGCGCGCGGCGGGGTGGCCGCAGAGCGCTCACCACGTGCAGCTCTGAAACCCCACGGCTCCCTGCCTGATCACATCAGCGGGCTTCCCAGGGAGGACAAGAACGCAGCCTGCGAGTCACCCACACATTTTCTCATTACGGGGGACATCGAGGGAGCTTCCAGTTCTATGAAGCTGAAGTTTACGATTTATTCTCTCAGCAAATGGTTGCTGCACACCTGTGTGCTGGGCAGGGGGGGTGACAGTTTGAGGGAAAATAAACCACCAATCCAGGCACACCAACTGCTACTACTCTATCACAGTACTACCACAAAGAGCTACTGCTCCTCACCTGCAAGCTATCCTGCATCCATCACCTGTCAGCCGAGTGCTACAGTATCTCCATCCTACAGATGGAAAAATCACAATTCGCTTTGCTTTTTAAAGATTTTATTTATTTATTTGAAATACATTTATTTGAGTTACAGAGAGAGAGGTCTTCCATTCACTGGTTCACTCCCTAAGTGACCACAATGACCAAGGCTGAGCCAGGGCAAAGCCAGGAGCTTTATCCACTTCTCCCACATGAGTGGCAAGGGAACACTGGGGCCATCTTCCACTGCTTTTCCCAGGCCATTAGCAGGGAGCTAGATTGGAAGTGGAGCAGCCAAGACATGAACTAGCGCCCACAAGGGATGCTGGCAACGCAGGTAGCACTGTACCCACTGACCACAATGCCAGCCCTGAAAACTGTACTTCTGAAAGGCTAAGCAAGCTGCACAGGTTACTCAGCAGTAAAATCTGGAAGTCGTCAACATCCTGAAGTCAAACAGAGTGGAGATTATAAGCTTAACTAATTACATCAGGAGGTACATTCACCTTGAGGGTTTACCAGAGTCCAATCAGGAGGGAGAGCATCCTTAACACTCAGGAAGAAAACACCAGCCACAACCAGAGATAGCTGAGCCAACTGCAGCCCACGGAGCAGCATTAGCAAGCTCTCTAGGGGGGCCAGCCATTAACATTTTAGGCTTTCAGGTCAGGCAATCTAGTAACTAACCAACTCTGTGTTAACAACCCCAGAGCAGTGGTACACACTATGTAAATGACAGGTGGGGGCTGTGTTCCAATAAAACTTTATTTATAAAAACAGGCTTCAGGGCCGGCGCCGCGGCTCACTAGGCTAATCCTCCGCCTTGCGGCGCCGGCACACCGGGTTCTAGTCCTGGTCGGGGCGCCGGATTCTGTCCTGGTTGCCCCTCTTCCAGGCCAGCCCTCTGCTGTGGCCAGGGAGTGCAGTGGAGGATGGCCCAGGTGCTTGGGCCCTGCACCCCATGGGAGACCAGGAAAAGCACCTGGCTCCTGGCTCCTGCCATCGGATCAGCGCGGTGCACCGGCCGCAGCGCGCCAGCCGCGGCGGCCATTGGAGGGTGAACCAACGGCAAAGGAAGACCTTTCTCTCTGTCTCTCTCTCTCACTGTCCTCTCTGCCTGTCAATAAAAATTAAAAAATAAAAAATAAAAATAAAAAAAAAAAAAAAAAAAAAACAGGCTTCAACCCAGATTCGGCCCTAGGCACTATGGTTTGTCAACCACTCTGCTGCATAGCACTGGGAGGATGCTAACAGACACTGGGTTGTTTATTTAACCTCTCCAAGGTTTCATTTCCTAATCTACCATAGGATAATGTTTATAGGGCAGAATTAGGAGAATTAATTGAACATTAAGATAGCCAGTGTGCCTGGGACACAGGAGGCACTCGGTCAATAACAGCATTGATTACTAATTACAGTCTGGGGCAGGAAATACAAAAAATAATTTTAGAATATTGTATGTCATGCCAGAAAGCAAAAAAGTCTCAACTTTTCATACTGAATCATATAAGTACAGATACGCAAAGGCAAAAAAGGAACATTTTGGGGCTGGCACTGTGGTGTGGCTGGTTAAGCCGCTGCTTGCAGTGTCGGCATCCCACATGGGCGTTGGTTCAAGTACCGGCTGCTCCACTTCCAATCCAGCTCTCTGGTGTGGCCTGGGAAGGTAGTGGAGGATGGCCCAAGTCCTTAGACCCCTGCTCCCACATGGGAGACCCGGAAGAAGCTCCTGGCTCCAGATCAGCGCAGCTCTGGCCGTTACGGCCAATTGGGGAGTGAACCGGCAGATGGAAGACCGACCTCTCTCTCTCTGCCTCTCCTTCTCTCTCTGTGTAATTCTGATATTCAAATAAATAAATAAATAAATCTTAAAGAATAAAAATGGAACATTTTGATCAACAAAGAGAGTAACAGGTGGGCGTTTGGCAGAGTGGTAGAATGCCACACGGGACGCCTACATCCCGCATCAGGGTGCTGGAGTGTGAGGCCCAGCTCTGCTCTCAATTCCAGCTTCCTGCTAATGCAGATCCTGGGAGGCAGCAGGGGATGGCTTAAGTGGCTGGGTCCCTGCCACCCATGAGGGAGACCCAGATGGGGTTCCCGAGTCCTGGTTTCAGCCTGGCCCAGCCTCAGGTGTTCTGGCCATTTGGGGCATTTACTAGCAGATGGAAGATTTCTCTCTCTCTCTCTCTCTCTCTCTGCATCTCTCTATTTAAAATAAATAAAAATTTTTTTTAAAAAAGAGTAACAAGAGAGACTGAAAAGCATTAACTGCTACTACCAGTTCTGGCCACAACAGGCGTAACGGCAAAAAAATTGAAACTACATAGAGGGGGTCTACAAAAAGCTCACAGAAAATGTTATGAAAACATTATGTATGAATTTTGAAAAATTTTTATGCCTAAATAAGTGTACCTTTCCATGTACAAACATGGTGATGTATCCTCATATATCATTATAAGGTTCCCTCACTGTTCATGATGTAGCATAGTAATAATTCAAAGTATTCTGTTATAAATGATGGATGCATATTACTATCTCTAGTGCAATCATTAAATAAAGCAAAACACATAAACAGCCAATGAAATAGAACAGATGTTAAAAAATATCCACCTAAAAGACAGGAAAGAAGGGGGGATACAGATAAACGAGTAGAAACAACAAAGTAGACTCACACCCAACAGTACAATTACCTTAAATACAAATAGAATGAACTCCATAATTAAAAGGCTGAAACTGCCAAGCTTGATTACAAAAAGTCTCTACTACAAACTGTTTACAAGAGTTAGGCTAGGCTGACAACCACAGTCCACTAACCCAAGTCCACCATTACTAAAAGTGAAACAAGCAGACACTACATTGATAAGATGGACACAGTACTACCTAAGAAGTACTTTTGCCAAGAAAATTGACCCTGAACATAATTAAGTCATAAGAACTAATCATCAATTAGGAATAGAAGGAACTACGTTCAAAAATATCATGAAGATACAATCAGTCAAATGCATATAAAGTGATCTAGCTTATTCCACAGATACAAGGGTATTTCAAAAAGTTCATGGAAAATGAAATTAAAAGTTTGGGGGCAGGCATTTGGTGCAGGGGCTAAATCACCTAATCCCGTATCAGAGTGCCTGGTCTGAGACCCAGTTACTCTACTTCTGACCCAGCTTCCTGCTAATGTGCATCAGGTGACACAAATGACTCAAATACTTGGATCTCTGCCACCTATGTGGGTGACCTAAACTGAGCTCCAGTCTACTGGCTGTTGTGGGCTCTCTGTCTATCTCTTTCAAACAAAATGAAAATAAATAAATGCACGCTGTACTACAGCCCTTACATGTTCTATTTTTTAAAAAGGTACATTTATTTTGGTGCAACACATTTTTGAAGAGTGGGCATTACGGCACAGCAGCATCCCATATCAGAGTGCCTGGTTCAAGTCCCGGACACTTTATCTGGATTCCGATCCAGCTTTTTCCGTGCACCCTGGAGGCAGCAGGTGAAGAGTCTGAAGAGGCAGCTATGGGCAACAGCTGTGGTGCATGGCATTAACCCGCTGCTTCAATGCCCACAACCATACTGGAGGGCCAGTTCAAGACCCCCTGCTCTGCCTCTGACCCACTGCCTGCTAATGTACCAGGGAAGGCAGAGAATCATGGTCCAAGTACTTGGGACCCTGCCAGTCACCCAGGGGACCTGGATAGGATTCCTGGCTCCTGGCTTAGGTCTGGCCCAGCCCCAGCTGTAGCAGCCATTTGTGGGGTAAACTAGTGAATGGGAGATCTCTCTCTCTCTCTCCCCCTGTCACTCTCTTATATAAATCTTAAAAGAAAGAAACAAAATGCACTGTGTAAGCCTTGTTCAGACTCTGGTTCAAATCAACTAATTATTAAAACAAAAATCAACTTGAGATAACTGAACGTAGACTGGGAATTAAATGACAGTCAGGAGTTACTGCTGGAGGGCACATTTAGCCTGAACAGTCAAGACTCCAGCATCACTCATCACAGTCCCGGGGTTTGATTCTGGCTCTGCAGGGCTTGTGCTTCTTTACATCCTGCTCATAGACACCTGACCTGTTCCTTAACACACAGCAGGCACCCAGAAAAATCCATCAGATGGAAATAAATACAGGGGCTGGCGCTGTGGCATAGAGGGTAAAGCTGCTGCCTGCAGTGCCGGCATCCCATATGGGAGCCGGTTCATGTCCTGGCTGCTCCACTTCCAATACAGCTCCCTGCTATGGCCCGGGAAGATGGCCCAAGTGCTTGGGCCACTGCACCCTCGTGGGAGACCTGGAAGAAGCTCCTGGCTCTGGCCTTGGATTGGCACAGCTCCGGCTGTTGCAGCCAACTGGGGAGTGAACCATCGGATGGAAGACCTCTCTCTCTCTCTCTGTGTAACTCTGACTTTCAAATAAATAAATAAATCTTTAAAAATAAATAAATAAATAAATAAACACAGCTTGTGCTGAACTCACCTTTGGTCATCCTCTAATGAGCCAGAGTTCGTTGTTGAGAAGCAATCAAAAGGGACCCAGACAGGGGGATGAGGGGTCTCTGAGCCTCTCTGGCCACTGAAACTCGATCGGGCTTACCTTGACATCTGGCACTTGGGCACCAAGGCTGCTGAGACCCACGATGGAGTAAAAGGCGGACTGCAGGTCTGTGAAAGGGCGGTCCAGCGAGGCTTTCAGTCTCTCCACATCATGCTTGGTGAGGTAGTGTGTGGGCGTCAGAGCCTGGCTGCCAGCCACGACTGTCAGGACCAGCAGCAACACAGCGCTTGAACCTTGGGAGGGAAGGACTGTTCAATACGCTGTTCTCTACAGAGCTCCAGGAATGACGCACCCCTCCCCCCCGGCACCTGGCAGAGTGGGGAAGGGTACGGGGACTTGGGGGGGAGCCTAACCAAAAGAGGAGCCTGAGGAAGGGGAGAGGTTGGTCTCGCGCTGGCGGAAGCACGGTTCCCCCAGCAGCCTCAGCACTTATGACACCATCGTGGGCCCATTTAAAGGGCAGCGCGAGGCTGAATCCCCATCACGCCTGGTCCCTCTCACCACCAGACACCTCCCTCCCTCTTCCCACCTCTGCTGCGTTCTTCCCGACTCGGCGCTTCTGCAGGCTTTCCCCTACTGCAACTTTGCTGAAGTTCTGCTTTCAGAATCCCTCCTGAACACCCTCCCTTGGGTTAGGTCCCCAGTACAGGAGTGAAGAACCAGCCTCCAGGCCAGGCCTAAATCCTAGCTCTGCCATCTATTAGCGACACAGCCATGGCCATGGCAGTTACCCAGCCAGCTTGTGCCTCGGCTTTCTCAGGTGTAAAGTGGGGGTAATAACCGGACCTGCTCAGGGGCGTTGGGAGGATGACATGAGTTCATACAAAATACATCTTAGAACCGTGACTGCTAAATGGTGCGCCAGCCGCAGCGGCATAGGAGGGTGAACAACAGTAAAGAAGACCTTTCTCTCTGTCTCTCTCACTGTCCACTCTGCCTGTCACCAAAAAAAAAAAAAAAGTCAAAACCATGACAAAGTGAAGTGTTTGCCACCCAAGCAGCAGCAATGACAAGTCACCCACAAGGCTGACAATCATGATCCCAAATCCTTTGCCTACGGTGTCAAATTAGCTCGACCTAGACCCCCGGGGAAGGCAGGATAACAGCCATTTCACAGGCAGAAAAGTGAGGACCACCGCAGCTTGCACAAACCCTGCTCTAGCACTGCCAAGTTCATATCCCACGACTGCTGTGAGCGTGCTGTAGAAGAGCCGCCGACATTAGCAGTTACTCAAGGCATTGCTCTTCTACGTTCCACTAGTTCTCTTAAACCCATACATGTTACCCTAAAACTATGAAAGCTCTTTAAAAAATGGAGATCTATAACGTGAAGCGTTCACCAAATATATACGGAATGCTACTACATGCCAAGCACTCTCTGTTGCTAAACATACAGAAACCAAACCCCCACCCCTAGAGTCTGTAAGCTATTGAGAAAAGGAAGACATCCCATGAGATAATTAAAAACCATTATTTATCAGGTTGGAAGGTAACAAGTACACAGGACGGATACGTGGGAAGGCAGCCTGTGAAGACCTACAGGACAAGCAATGATGCCCATGGCTGTTCACCAGCAGAAGTGGGGAGAAGATCCCAGGAAGAAAAGTGAGTACAGAGACTGAACAGGGGGCCGGCGCTGTGGCATGGCGGGTAAAGCCGCTGCCTGCAGTGCCGGCATCCCATATGTGCGCCGGTTCCGGTCCAGCTCCCTGCTAATGTGCCTGGGAAAGCAGCAGGGGAAGGCCCAAGTCTTTGGGCCCCTGCACCCACGGCGGAGACCCGGAGGAGGCTCCTGGCTTCAGATGGAGCTCAGCTCTAGGCCGTTGCAGCCATTTGGGGAGTGAACCAGCAGATGGAAGAACTGTCTCTCTCTACCTCTCTCCATAACTCTTTCAAATCAATAAAATAAATCTTTAAAACAAACAAAAAGACTGAACTGGCGATATAGATGGTGTTTTCTGAGCTTTGCAAGACAGCATGGTGAAGCAAGCAAAAGGTGACAAGTAGAGACGAGATGACAGAGCACAGGCCAAACTGGAGGGCCCCGAACGGCACTGGAGGGCCACTGGAGACTTCAGAGCACCGGACTGGACTGCCACTTTAACAGGATCATTGTGTTGAGAACTGACAATGCCATGCTGACAAGGGACCAGGCAGGAACAAAGACAGAAAGACGGGTGCCAGTTAGGAGACCAGTGTCATCACCCAATAGAAAGGTGACAGTACTCTGAACTGTCGCGACAGCAGGGGAGGTGGTGAGAAATCGTCAGTCAGCCTGGCTAGAATTCAGCAGCAAGGCTAGCAGAACGCCTAACGGACAGAAAAACAGCAGACAGAAAAACGGAAGAGCCAAGACACTAATGCTGGGGGCCCAGCACTGCGGCATAGCGGGTAAAGTCGCTGCCTGCAGTGCTGACATCCCATATGGGCGCCGGTTCGAGTCCCGGCTGCTCCACTTCCAGTCCAGCTCTCTGTTAAGGCCTAAGTCCTTGGGACCCTGCACCAGCGTGGGAAGACCCACAGGAAGCCCCTGGCTTCAGATTGGCGCAGCTCCGGCCGTTGTGGCCAGCTGGGGAGTGAACCAGCAGTTGGAAGACCTCTTTTCTCTGTGTAACTCTGACTTGCAAATAAATAATCTTAAAAAAATAAAAGATACTAGTGCTGGGTCCCCAAAACCTGTGTACCTGGATACTTTGTCACAATGTAGTGAACAATGGCAACTAGCGTTTCTCCAGCTGGCCTGGAAATCCTGCCCAACTCAACACCCGAGCTGAGTGACAGCAGAACCTTGTAGGCTCAAATCTGAGCACCAAGCACTTTGCAGGCTCCCAGTCACCGCATCCCCAGCAGGTCCAAGTGACACGGGTGGTTTCTGCCTCCTACAGACCAAGAAACTGAGGCTCACAAGGAGCCCCTGCCCTACGACACGCAACCAAGAATCCGAAGTCTGTTTTTAACCCATTTACTACCCTCAATTTCTCAAATAACGAAGCAGCGGGCCCATGCGTTGTGTAGGTGATTTCCAGTCTCTGGGATTCTAACTTCTCATCTGTCCGACAGAAATAACAGGAGTACACGCGCGTCCACCCTGCAGCGTCCACTCGGTGGCCCCCGGAATGCCACGCACTGCTCTCAACCACGCCCGCCGAGCATTGCGTTTAACACCGCAGCTCTGCGAGCCAATGTCACTAAGTTATTTTTACAGAGGTCCAACGGGACTGAGTGCCGTGCGTGGGTCACATGAGGACGTGGCAGGCTGCAAGCCCGCTCCCAGCCCACCTTCCCCGGGACAGGGAGGGCTCTTCCTGCTCCTTTCACTTAAGAAGAAACTAAGGCCCAGAGAAGGGCGATCTGGCCAAAAGCTGACGGGAACTTAAGGGACAGCGGGGACACCAGATCTCAGGCCGCCGGGAGGAAGAGCCCGCGCGGAGTAAATGAATGAGTGAGGAGGCCAGGCCCCAGGTCAAGCGCGGTCGCGGTCGCCCGGGCTGGGCCTCAGGGGGACCCGTAGCTCGGCGTTACACATTCTCCCCCCCCCCCCCAACCGCCCCTGCAGACGCGAGCACTCCCACCAGCTCGCAGCCCCCCTTCGGACCCTCGACCTCGCAAGAGTACGAGCCCATGTCCCTGCCCCGCAGGGGCAGGGGCTCTCGCCTGGCCGGCTGCCGAGTGGCGGGCACTAGCGTCCCGCGGGCTACAGCCCTCTCCCCCCAGCGTGCGGGCCGCGGGGCCCAGTCCGTGAGCCATGCGCAACGCCTCACCCGGCGGCGCCATTGCTCCCAGCAGGTCCCACCGGAGCCCGAGCCGCAGGCTGACTTCCGCTCGGGAAAGTGGCTCTACGAGCGTGCTGGAGGGGACGTCAGGGACTCGCGGCAAGCACTGCGTGCCGGGATGGGCTCCAAGTACAGGTCAGTCTCCGCAGTCACACTGGGCCTGGCCGCTCCCAGCCGCCACGGCCGGGATTCCGGTCGTCGCGCGCAGTGGGTCTCACGGTTCCGGGGTCCACCCCTGCCTCCCCCTCCCCCGCGCCTAGTCCTATTTGGAACAGTCCGCACGCAACGGTCCAGTTCCGGGCGCTGCCCGAACGCGATAGGACGAGGCTTCAAGGTGGGCCCGAGACGGGGCCGCCTCTGATTGGCTGTTCGCGCTGATTGGCCCATCAGGCTGTCACTCTTGTGTCGCTATGCAGCCCGGCCGATTTTAAAGCAACGAGAACTACCGGGTGGGGAGGGAAGAACCAGGTCCCAAGGTGGGGGCGGTTTCTCGAGGCTTTGGTTTCGGATGCAAATAACTGAGCTGTGTTAAGTGATTTTTCCCTCACCGTAACGCTGAGGAACATCCGCGCATTAGTCCGGTTTCAGAGACTGGGGCTGGAACCAGGCCATGCCCACGGGAGGAACGCAGAAGCCGAAAGCAGCCCGCAGCGCCTGGGTGGTCGCTGCCTGCCTCGTTCGGTACTCGGCACCCTCACCATTCCCGTGATCTGAAAAGATGCTGGAAGGTCCGAGCCCAGAATAGTGTTTCGAGCTGTGGGGAGCACCCAAGGCGTGCACCCTCCTGGTCACTGCCGCTGTCGTCACGGCTGCCCCAGTCGTCACCCCACGCGAGGGAGAGAGCGCCTTCGTGCTGTTTCTGGGCTTGTGCTAGTCGGTTTGCTATTCAGTAGCCGCATGTGGAGACTTCAGTTTGAAATTAAAGCCAATTTACAATCTGGCGGCTCAGCGGGACCAGCCACGTTTTCAGTGCTCCACGGGAGCTCGCGGACCTGGCGCTAACCAGCGTGACGTCACGGGAAGGTCTCCTGGGCAGTGGCGATCCTGAACCGGTACAGACCCTTCGGAGACAGCCAACCGCTGGCGTGTTGCAGCCGTCTCAGGCTGTCTGGACAGCTCATGGTTGAATTTTCCGAGATTTTGAAACTGGTTAAATGCAGCTATTTTCAAAAGTAAATTGTGGGGCCGGCGCTGTGGCGCAGCGGGTTAAAACCCTGGCCTGAAGTGCCGGCATCCCATACGGGCGCCGGTTCACATCCCGGCTGCTCCTCTTCCCATGCAGCTCCCTGCTAAGCCCTGGGAAAGCAGGAGAAGATGGTCCAAGTGCTTGGGCCCCTGCACCCGCATGGGAGACCCGGAAGAAGCTCCTGACTCCTGGCTTCGGATCAGCTCACAGTAAAGCAAAACTGACAAAACGCATTGTTTCCTAATTCTTGTATTACATTTTGCCACTGTCTGTGCTTTTGCGGTTGCTTGTATCCCTCATACCTGTCTGGTGGAAACGTTCCATGATGCATTTGCACCCCTCTTCCCAAAGCAGCAGTGCTAGCTTGGCTTTGGCCATCATGAGAGTGTTTATGCTGTAAAGTCAGCAAATGCTGTGAACCAGGGCTTGATCTGTTGCTTTATTGTCTCAACATGATGATGGAGAACATGTCAATAGAATTTAAAGTGTGTCATGTCTTTTTTTTAAGATGTATTTATTTATTTGAAAGGCAGAGAGTTAGAGACACACAGAGGCAGAGGCAGAGAGAGATCTTCCATTGGCTGGTCCACTCCCCAAAATGCCCACCAAGGCCAGAGCCAGGAGCCTCCTCTGGGTCTCCCACATGGGTGCAGGGGCCCAAGGACCGGAGCCATCTTCCACTGCTCTCCCAGGCGCATTAGCAGAGAGCCGGATCGGAAGTGGAGCAGCCAGGACTTGAACCGGTGAACCAGTGCCCATATGGGATGCTACACCACAGTGCTAGCCCCATATATACAATGTTTAATATGTACTTCTAGCCAGGGGCTAGCGCTGTGGTGTAGCAGGTAAAGCTGCCGCCAGCAGCGCCGGCATCCCATATAGGCACCGGTTCAAGTCCTGGCTGCTCCACTTCCGATCTCACTCTCTGCTGTGGCCTGGGAAAGCAGTGGAAGATGGGCCAGATCCTTGGGCCCCTGCACCCATGTGGGAGACCCAGAGGAGGCTCCTGGCTCCTGGCTTCAGATTGGTACAGCTCAGGCCATTGCGGCCAATTGGGGAGTGAACCAGAGGATGGAAGATCTCTCTCTCTCTCCCTCTCTCTCGCCCTCTTCTTCTCTCTGTGTGTAACACTTTCAAATAAAAAAATCTTTTAAAAAATTGTATCTGGAGCTGGTGATGTGGCGCAGCGGATTGACGCCCTGGCCTGAAGCACCAGCATCCCATATGGGCGCCGGTTCAAGACCCAGCTGCTCCACTTCCTGCCCAGCTCTCTGCTGTGGCCTGGGAGAGCGGTGGAGGATGGCCTGGGTCCTTGGGCCCTTGTGCCCACGTGAGAGATATGGAAGGCTCCTGGTTCCTGGCTTCAGATCGGCACAGCTCCAACCATTGTGGACATCTGGGGAGTGAACCAGTGGATTGAAGACCTCTCTCTCTCTCTCTCCTTCTCTCTCTGTAACTCTGACTTTCAAGTAAAATAAATAAATCTTTAAATATATATATATATTTATATTTATTTATATATATAACATATATATAATATATAATTGCATCTAAATGTAATTCCACTGCTTTTCTCAGGCCTTTAGCAGGGAGCTGGATCAGAAGTGGAGCAACCAGGACTTGAACCAACACCCACATGGGATGCCAGGATTGCAGGCAGTGGCAGCCACTTGGGGAGTGAAGCAGCAGATGTTAAATCTCTTTTTCTCTGCCTCTGCCTCTCTGTAACTGCCTTTCAAATAAATAAAAGCAAAATTTTTATTTTTTATTTTATTTTATTTTTTGTGTTTACTTACTTTAATAACAATATGTAGATCATGCTATCACCATGGAATGTAAGTTCAGGTTAAACAAGAGATTTCACAACTGCAGTAATGTATCCTGTAGTATATCAAAGTTTGTGTATAACGTCTGACCAACCAGCTTGCTCATAAACTATTGATCACTTCCACTATAGGTAATTTAACATTTATGAGTCTTACACAGAAAATTAAAAAATACTGCACACATTTAAAAAGTGTTAATTTACCTTTGTATTAGCAGTTAAAATACATGTTTCTATTTCAAGGTGACATTTAGAAATTATTCTAGTATAACAGCAGCAAAAATATAATTCTGCAGTTTTTACAAAAGAGCTAACCTGGAATCCATAATTAAATTAGTCTCACATTTACAAGTATGATTCTGAAATAAATACTACTATGCAGCTGTTTTAAAAGCTTGCTACCTTTTGTTTGTGTACACACACAAGTACACACACACACATACACACATTCAGGTGTGGGAGGCTTTACAAATTATATTCCATGAACTTTTTGAAAAAGAGTTCTTTAAGAGATAACCAATCCCAAAAACTGAAATATTCATCCAGTCTATGAGGCAGGCAGAAAAAAGTGAATTAACTGGGTAAACAGGACTCCTTTCCAACAGATGAAGCATGTGACACTCTGCAGCAAACTGGGAATAACTGCAGCATTGGCCTGCTGTGATCTTTAGGACTAATTTCATCACAAGGGTTGGGGTGGAGGGAGAACATTTAACACCAGGTGTAAAATGTGACATTGTGTTAACCTGACTCCCCGAGGGACCTATTAGTGAACTAGTCACTAATAATTTGGTCATGAGGAGGTCCATATTCAAAATACCATGTATTATTGTCTAAACCCACTCAAATTATTTATTTTCAATATAACACATAACCTCAATATGAGATGTCTAACTAAAGGAAGCATCTCCAACAAGGCCAAGCTAGCATCTCTTCTAAGGTTTAGGTTTCGCCCAGAATTCCCGATACATGGAATAGCCCATACCAAGAGTCATTGCTCCTACAACAAAGCCTTGAGCCACCACACGCATGTGAATGAGGTGAAGGGACATTTTCGTATTTCCCCTGCTCTTCAGTTTGTACAGTCCATATGCAACAATCACTGCAAACCCCCCATTCCAATGGGGACAAATGGTGCCTCTTTAGCTTTTCGGATAAGTTTGGATCCCTGATCTTCATCACATGAAGAAAGAGAAACATCTGTATTCGTTGACATATTGGTTGTTTGAAGAATCTACCTACTGCAACAACCCCAAAAACCCTCCAACCGGCTTCTCAAAAGCAAAATTTTTAAATATTTATTTTTTGAAAGAGTTACAGAGAGAGGTAGAGACAGAGAGAGAGGTCTTCCATCTATCATTTCACTTCCCAAACGGCCGCAATGGCCAGAACTGAGCTGATCAGGAGCCAGGAGCTTTTTCCAGGTCTCCCACATGGGTGCAGGGTCCACAGACGTGGGCCATCCTCTGCTGCCTTCCCAGGCACATTAGCAGGGAGCTGGTTCGGAAGTGGAGCAGCCAGGACTTGAACCCATATGAGTTCAAGCCCATATGGGATGCCAGCACTGCAGGATGGGGCTTTAACCCCTGCAGCCATGGCACCAGCCCCATAAAAACAAATTATTTTTTAAATACACCATGGTCATTTCTCACACAAGTAGTTAAGTCCCTGATATCGATACAGGAGAACCGGATTGAGTTCCCAGCTCCTGTCTTCAGCCCACCCCAATGTGGGCTGTTGTAGGTGGTTGGGGAGTGAACCCCCCCCTCTTTCTCCCTTGCTCTTCCCCCTCCATCCCTCCCCCCCTTTCAAATAAATAAAATAAATACGTTTTAAAAACATCAGTTTTTCCATCAGCAGTTCCACTGACTGGGTGTTTGTTTTGAAATCCACTCATTTTCTACATGTATCCCAACATTTGTGTGTGTGTGTGTGTGTGTACCTCTCTGCATACACACTCCTACATCTTCATCACTTTAATGGAAATATTAATATTTTTAATAATAAAAATGTTAAGTTTTTTTTTTATCTGAAAGGCACAGAGAGACAGGGATCTTTATCTATTTGCTGATTCAGTCCCCAAATGGCTGCGATGGCTGGGGCTGGGCCAAGCCGAAGCCAGGAGCCAGGAGCTTCATCTGGATCTCACATGTGGTTGGCAGGGGCCCAAGTACTTGGTCCATTTTCCTCTGCTTTCCCAGGTACATTAGCAGGGAGCTGGGTCAGAAATGGAGCAGCCAAGACTAGAACCGGTGCCCATATGAGATGTCAGTGTTGTAGGCAGCGGCACTGGCCCCAATAATAAAAATTTTTCATTAACAAAATTGATTTATTTGAATGCAAATGGAATCATATTATACTCACTGTTTGGCAGCTTGCTTTTTTATGCACTGATCTTTGCTAAACTTGGAGTAAATACAGATCTATTCAGTTATTCACTCTGACAGTATTTGTTGCGCATTACCATGGTCCAGGCGTGTTCTAGACTGGGCATCCATTCACAAACAAAGCAGCCACAGATCCTTACCCTCGAGGAGCCTACCTTTTAGCAGGAGGAAGAGGTGATAAACAATAAACATCAGAAATAACTAAGTGCAACAGCAGGACTCTGTGCACTTGCTCCCCATGTAGGACCTCTGTCCTTAATGAGTTGCACTGAGAATTAACGCTAAAACTGGCCTTCAAACAGTGCTTTATAGTTTGTGTGTCTGTGTGGGTGCAAACTGTTAAAATCTTTACTTAGTATAGTTTATCTTCTGTATATAAAGATAATTAAAAATGAATTAAATTCATTAAAAATGAAGAATGGGATGAGAGGGAGTAGGAGGTGGGATGGTTTGGGGGTGGGAGGGTGGGTATGGGGGGGAAGAACCGCTATAATCCAAAAGTTGTACTCACAAAATTTGTATTTATTAAATAAAAGCTTTCTATACAAAATAAAAATAAATAATTAGAAGTTGTTATGGACAGTGGAAGAAAGAAAAAGGAGGAAAGGGTGAGGGAGATTTCGGGGGTGTTCTGTTTCAACTTGTGTGTTTTTTTTATTTAAAAAAGATATTTAATTTGTTTTTCTTTGAAGGAGACTGACAGAGAGATCTTCTATACTCTGGTTTATTCCTTAAATGCCTGCAACAGACAGGGATGAACCAGGCCAAAACCAGGACCCTGACACTAGTCTGGGCCTCTCACAAGGTGGCAGCCACTGCCTGCTGCCTCCTAGGGCGCACGTTAGCAGGAAGCTCACGCTCAGAGACAGATCTCCCCACCATCGTGCCCGCCAAACGTCCATGTTAGCAGCATAGTACTTCTTACTTGTCCATTCATCCTCTGTGAGTGAGGCTGACTGTGGGCTGGGAGCTAGAGATCAAAGTGTGACTATGCAGACCAAGTTTCTCCCCTAATGGAGCTTACAGTGACAGGAGGTGGTCAAACAAGTGAACACAGACCCAGTCATTGTGGGTGGCGACTAAGTACATGAAAGACACTAAGAAGGCAACTGGTGCTGGGGTGGGAGGAGCCACGCAATCATTTATTGATAATCAAGGGCTCTTGGGGCAGAAGTTAAGATGCCACTCGAACACCCGCATTCCATATCAGAGAGCCTGGGTTCAAATCCCAGCTTCACTTCCAATTCCAGCTCTCTGCTATTACGCACCCTGGCGGGCAGTGGAGAAGGTCCAAGGATGTGGGTTCCTGCCACCTGTGAGAGAGACGCAGGTTGAGTCCTGATGTTTGGCTTCAACCTGCCTGCTGCAGGCATTAGAGGAGAGAGCCAGCAGATGGGGAAAAAAATCTCACTTTCTGTCACTGTGCTTTTGAAATAAAATAGAAAATAAAATAAATTCCTCTCTGGAAAGTGGCCATTTAGGCTTGCAGCTGAGTAAGACAGAAGCAATCTTGAAAAACTCTGGGACTGGCACTGTGGTGCAGCGGATTAACGCCCTGGCCTGAAGTGCCGGCATCCTATATGGGTACCGGTTCGAGACCCGGCTGCTCCACTTCCGATCCAGCTCCCTGCTATGGCCTGGGAAAGCAGTGGAAGATGGCCCAAGTCCTTGGGCCCCTGCACCTGTGTGGGAGACCTGGAGGAAGCTCCTGGCTCCTGGCTTCGGATCGGCACACTGCCAGCCGTTGTGGCCAATTGGGGAGTGAACCATTGGATGGAAGACCTCTCTCTCTCTCTCTCTCTCTCCCTCTCCCTCTCCCTCTCCCTCTCCCCTCTCTCTGTATAACTCTAACTTTCAAATAAATAAATAAATCTTTAAAAAAAAGCATACTGTAACAAAAAGAAAATAATATTAAAGAAAAAGAAAAACTCTTTCTAATCCCTTCTTCATTCCCAGGATCTGTGGCCGAGAAGATGTGGTGATCCCTTGTGCTTCCGACAATGATTCGGGCAGTATGGATCTACAGCTGAGCAACATTGAGGATATTAAAAAACGCCCAAGTAGCATTGAACTTACAGGTGAACAGGGGCGGGGGAAGGCACTGTCTCCAGGGCAAGCCAAGAGGCTGTGACTGAGCGCCCGCCTCCCCAGCTCTTGCCTGGGCTGACAGTGAACTTGGTGCCTGACAGTGAGATCTTGGGAAATGGTTGGCAAAGCAAGAGGAGATGCACTGTCCTGGACATCAAGGGCACTAGGCCGGGTCCCAGGATAGACGAGGCCGTAGACCACCACAGAGTCGGACTGCTTGAGAGGGAAAGGCAGGTGCGGGATGGCGCGGAGAGGGAGGGCTTCATTCAGAAGGCGGTGTCTGGATGGGGCTAACTGCCTTGCAGTTACCCTTCGGCTCATCAGTGAGGACCGTGTGCTGCACTTGAGACAGCGAGCATGACCTGCGTGGTCCCTGACCTCCTCGAGCTTACGTTTCAGTGCAGAAGAGAGACCCAAAGGCAGAGTGCCTAAAGTGACTGCAAGTGGTCGCAGGCACAGTGGAAGAACTAAACAAGAGGCCAAGACACAGACAATACGGGAGGCTGGGAACCTGCTTTCGGCCATGGCCATCAGGCACACCGTGTGAGAGGTTGTGCTACTGAGTCCTGCGGCGGGTCTCCAGGATAAGGGAGAGCAGCCATGTGGGACGCACAGGGACAGCATCCCAGGCTGATAGGACGGCGTGCACAGGAGACAGGAAAGGCGCGGGGTGTCTGAGGAAGCACACTCACTCGTTCATGCATTCATTCAGCAAATGTTGAAGCCCTGCTGCGCTCCAGCCTGACCTTGCTGCTGGGGATAATAGTGAACAGACGGAACACGATGTACTTGACAGAGAAACAGGCAGTAGAACTCAGAGTGCCGAGCACGATGGGTTGGGAAGGGTGGGGAGAGTGGACACAGGTAGGTTTGTTAGTGGCTAGGAGTGTATTTCGCCAGACTGGGCAAAGAGAGGATTCGAGAAAGGCATCTTGCAGCAGTAAGGGAAGCTGGGGTAAGGAAGAATACAAATGTAGAAGGGCAACCTGCGCGAAGGTCAGAGGGAACAAGAACTGGGCGTCAGTTGTTAGCGTTCGTAGATGATAAGGATGTAGCAGGGAGCAGGCGGAGTTGGCAGAGGCGGCTTTCAGAAGACCGAGAGGGACACAAAGGTAGAGTGGTCGAAGTCCTCAGATGATGGGGCCGGTGTAGTGGCACAGCGAGTTCAACTGCCGCTTGAGACGACGCCGGCACCCCAAGTCCTGGCTGCTCCACTTCTGAGCCAGCCTCCTGCTAATGTTCCTGGAAAGGCAGAGGAAGATGGCCCAAGTGCTGGGGCCCCTGCCACCCATGTGGGAGACCAGGATAGAGTCCTGGCTCCTGGCTTCAGCCTGGCAGGGACCTGGCTGTTACAGCTATCTGGGAAGTAAACCAACAGGTAGAAGTTTCTCTCTGTCTGTCTCTCTCTCCCTCCCTCTGTCCCCCCCCATTTCTCTCTTCCTCTCTCTTTCTCTTCTCTCTCTCCTCTGTCATTCTGTCCTTCAAATAATAAATAAAATTCATCTTTTAAAAATTAAATCCTCAGGCCCGTGGCCTGTCCTGTGGAGGGCTGCGGGTCCATGTCTCATAGGGAGGCCTGGGGTGCCCCCAGCACCCGGCTGTGCCCCATTGCTTCCTACCACTTGTTATTAAATGTGTGGGAGAAGAGTCTAAAAAAAATTAAATCCTCAGATGATGGACGTGTTCAAGGGGACTGGTTAGGCTGTTAGGCCACTAGGAATAAGGGATTGCGTATTGCGAAACAGGCAAAGTGAGGGTGTAAGGCTGCACGAGGAGGAAAATGGTGCTCCGGCAGTCGCGGTCACTCGGGTGAAGGAGCAACCGCTGCTGGCCTTGCCTGGTGCTAGTTCTTAGTCAAAGGGAGCAGGTTCTGTTGGCGTTCCTGTTTCGGAAGTGCAGAATTAGACCCAGAGCCAGGATGTGAGCCCAAGCAGACTGGTTCTGGAGCCTAGAGTTTTAAGCAAAGCCTGTCCCAAACCCAGAAGTGCTCCTTGCTGCCAGGCGCAGCGAGAAGAGATGAATATCCACCGGGGCCTTCACTGTGTTCCTAGCTCTCGTCTTACAGACGTGTTGACTTCTTGAGTAGTGCTATCTGCATTTAAGTGCTGACTTTGTGTCACATACCAGGATCGGTTCTCCAATGTGTTACCTCAGTTCATCCTTAAAATAACCCCATTTTATAGATGAGCAAACCGAGGTTCCAGGAGGCAGACTTGCGGTGAGGACTTGATATCTAATAAGTAGGTAGTCCAAAACTGAGATTTAAAGACCAGACCCTTAACCGCTCTGCAGCAGCTCAGTCACAGAGCCTTTTGTAGCTTAAAAAGCCTTTAGAGGCCGGCGCCGCGGCTCACTAAGCTAATCCTCCGCCTGCGACGCCGGCACTCGGGGTTCTAGTCCCGGTTGGGGCGCCGGATTCTGTCCCAGTTGCTCCTCTTCCAGTCCAGCCCTCTGCTGTAGCCTGGGAAGGCAGTGAAGGATGGCCCAAGTGCTTGGGCCCTGCACCCGCATGGGAGACCAGGAGAAGCACCTGGCTCCTGGCTTTGGATCGGCGCAGCACACCGGCCGTGGTGGCCATTTGGGGGGTGAACCAACAGAGGGAGGACCTTTCTCTCTCTCTCTCTCACTGTCTAACTCTGCCTGTCAAAGATCAAAATATTAAACAAAAAAAGAACAAAATAATGAAGAATGAAAGTCTTTTGAGTTGAATTTGTAATTGAGAAACTAG